ATTTTTCTTTTCTTTTTTTTCTTTTGGGTACATCTTAAAGAAGTTCATGTAAAGGAAGGAAGAATTAATTTGTGGAACGATCTGGGGTTCAAGAGCAGAGAGATAGTTTACTTTGACCCCATGACAAGTTGCACAGTGGTGACAACACGAGGAAAGCAAGCATAACACGACCACGGGAACAAAGATTTGGAGGCGATGACTGACAAGAACCAAGGCGATGAAGAAGCAAGACAATAATTGAGATGAAGAACCCTAGTCATTTGGAGGCATTATTGTTTCAGAGGAACCAATAGGACAAGATAGGTTTAGGTTTATTAAAAGAGTGGTCAGGGGTAGGATAGATATTTTTGTGTCTTGTCTCTTTACATCCAAACATAATACAAGATGCAATACACAATATCCTATCTTCACTTTCACACATAATAGACAGACATAAACATTAGTGTCTTTATCTTTTATTGTTTCAGTGTCTCTGTCTCCATTATCCAAGGACGGGTGCTACCTTAGAGATCCTATAGAGGTGATGAATGGAATGGAAGAGGGAGATGATATGAATGTGAAATAAGGAAGAATTCTAGGTGAAAGCTTAGGGTTTAGGTGTGGAAGAGGCAAAAAGGAAAGAGAAGTCACAAAGATAAATTTAAAATTCAAAAGAACATCTTTTCTCAAAACTCTAAAATTTTCTTTTATTTAGTGATCTTAAAGGCATCATACTCTAGATAGAGGAATATTCATATTTGACTACAAGGCATGGTCTTTTTTAGCACGCCTTGGATAAAAGGTTCATATCTTCAACATGGGGTGCGCTCTTCTTGAGCATGACCTAAATAGAGAGGTACATTGTTCAGCACAAGGTGTGCTGAGTTAGACATGATTGATAAGTTCATATTTTGATGTTTTATAACTTATATTTATGCACTTTTGATATATTTTGTGGATGTTTTACACTAAATTTATTATTTATTTTTACATTTAAGCATGAGAGCACTACTAGTGCATTATGGGAGTATTCTGAGCAAAAATTAGATAACTACAGCTAACCTCGCAAGAAAGCACAATCGTGCTTCTCACTCGTCAAAGGTGTGCTTCGTGACAATGCACGATCGTGCTAAATTCAAACATGGGCATGGTTCAATATTTGGCACAGCAGTGCTGGATAATAATGCATTTTTGTGTTGATTCAATCTGTGATCAAATTTTAAAATTTAATTTTTGAATTTTGAGAGTTTGAATCTACATTGATTTGGAGAAATTAAATGTGGTTTTAGTTAAGATCCCAAAAAGTTGGCAAAACTGATTTTCATTCAAAAAGATAAAGCTCAGTTACTAAAGATTGAGCGACGATCGGAATACTAAGTTATATAAAAAGGGCTTATGCTTCTGGATAAACATCTTCTAAACACCATCTTCTTTCCCTAAGGTCTAACTTAATCAATCATTGAGAGTTATTAGAGGTCATTGGCAAAGACGACGAGTGTTTCTTTTGAGCACCTTTTGGAGAACAAGAGCTACTTCCACCCTTTTCCCTTTCGGGCATTTTCAGTTGAAATTTTACTGAGTTTATGGATTTGTTTATCATGTGTTTCGTTATTTGTTTTGTTAAGGTTAGCTAAATTCATAACTAGGACTATGACATATCTTATTGCATACTCTATGAGATTTTTATTTTTAATAACGATGTTGGTTTCTTTTTATGTTTAGTCTTTATCCTATTGAATTCAACTTTGCATGTTAAAAACTAATCACCTTTAGTATCTTACAACTAGTTGTATCACAGGCGACCGTACCACATGTAATTAATAGAACTATAGGTTAGACGGGACAAATGATTAGGCGAATTAAACTTAGTTTTTCTCTTCCAACTGTTATTAAATTAACAAACTCATAGGCTCTTTATGCTTTCACTACCTTTTGTCTTGCATGATCATTAGGAATAATCGTCTAGAGAAAAGAATATTAATATTGCATGATTATTGAGTGTTAATAGAATAAGTATGGGTGGTTGGTGAACATAAAGAAACTAATATTAGAATTTAACTAAAGAGAACATAGAAAGGTGTAATAGGTAAAACCATATGCCCTAGACTCTTTTCATCCACTCTCTATCAAAAACTTCCTTTGTGTCCTTTCAATTACTTTTTGAATTTAAACACTTTTGATTTTAATTCATTACGTACCCTTTCAGTTTAAACAATTAAATCAAGATGTTTTTGTTACTTGAAACTAATCTCTGTGGGACGATAACTTGAAAACTTAATTTTAAACTCTTTATTACTTTTCGATAGGTACACTTGCCCACAGATAATGATCATGCTCATTTGGAAAGAAGTACAAGTGTGCTAGTGTTAAGCACACATTCTCTAAAGAGTTTGTTTAGTCAGCACAGGACATGTTCGTGTTAGAGAAGGGCATGCTTGTCTTATTTCTTTCCCAATATCATTTTGTTTTCTAATACCACTGTTCTTCATGATTTAGTTTAATTCATCTAGTTACACTGTCATTTTACAATAAAATCAAGAAATAATTAATCATTTTAAGGGATAAAACATCAATTATAATAATAAAATAAGCTAGATTCTCATAGATAAAATGACAAATGAAAATTTATCACTTAGTTGCCTAAACTCGTATCGCCTCCTACTGATATGGAATGCTCATTAGGTTAATGCGTGTTAACCGCAAAGTGGGTACTGTATTTAGAGGAGACAAACTTATTTTTTTAAGTAGTTTCATAACAAAGGAGTGTGATACCAACATGTGACATTGTCCAAAAAAAAAAAAAACTCTAGATAATAAATTAGTTTTTAACCAATATTAATTTGGATATTTATTTTTAAAAATATATTAATTAAGTAAATAAAGTCTAACAATAGTATTTAATTACATACATTTTTGTATAGCAACATTCCATGTATTCCTTAATTTCACTAATTTTATACCTTAAGGTCTTTATTTAGAGTTATTTGTCTAAACAAATGTTATTTTTACCAAGTCATTCATCTTTTTATGCACAAAGAGAAATACCTCTCAAGTGTCCATTAATAGAATAGAGAGCATTAAAAAAAAAAAACTTTTGTTTGATACTCCTCAATGTTCTTGTTCTGTTTTAGGCATAAAATCTATTATTATTATTTTTTCTTTCTTCCATACTCTAGAGGAAGGGTGCGTAATAAAGCAATAATTTTGTTGCAAAGTTAATATGAAATTGAATACTTGCTTATCCAAGGCATAACATGTTAAAGTTTTCTTTTGAAGTGTTTAACAAAGGGATGATTATAAAGATGAGTACTAAGTAGCAAATTAAACCTGAAATCTATGTAATGTGACTTTTGAAATAACTTAAATTATAACTAAACTAGGTAGTAGTTAATGTAATGCATATGTATTTTATTTTGAAATAAATGAATATATTTTAATAATTAAAAAAGTTATAAGTTTTAAAATAGTTTACATATGTATATATAACAAAAATATTTTTAAAAAAATTTCTTAAAAATTATTTTAACCTAATTATGTAAGCACAAGTTATAAAGTAATAATTTTTTTATAAATATAAATATTTTAAAAAATTCAAAAATTTAAAATATGATTAAAAAATAAATAAAAATTAAGCTAATTGTAACAAAAGAAAGTACAGTTTATACATTATTATTAATTAATTTTAAATTTAAATATATTTAACTAACTGAAAGAAAAAGTAAGTTTGCTAAGTTTATAGCCTTTTAGTCCCACATTGGTAGTGAAGCACAACTGCACCCGCGAAGCTAGGTATATAATGTGATTTGTGATACAATAAACAGCATCTTTGCGCTTGGGGCAATGACGCAGCTAGTGAGGTTCTAACCGAGGCGCGTCTATTGCTGGTTGAAAACTATTTCCAAACCCCCTCTTAGGCCTGGGTTTGGCCCAGGCCTTCGAGAATTTCTAGAAGGGCTCCCTGTGGGGTAAAGCCCTGCAATTATAGTTACAACGTTACCTTTGCGGTAAAGCCCTGCAATTATAGTTTCAACGTTATTGGTTATATTCTATAATACAACTGTTTAAAGAGAGATGTCCTGTTTAAATGAACTAAAACCTAGCATAAGTCTACTGAAAACAATCATCAATATCAATGTTTTATAGATTTTGTTATCTAAAAATAACTAAAGCCTTTTAAGTTTTTAAAAAAGCAATAGCATAACAAAGCTAAACTTATCTTAATTATTTAAACTGAGGAAATATATCATGTCAACATAACTTGTAGAAAAGATTAATTGAACGCAACAATTTTATCAATATAAATTCTAAATATAAAATATAAAAAATTCCTTGTGTAACAGGTAACTTAATTAAATTATATGTCTTTACTTTTTTTGTGTGCATATATGTAGTCTTTCATTTGATGTCAAAAGAAAGAAACAAAATCTTTAATTTAAAAGGTTCATTTGATTTGACTCGTTATAATTTAGTATGGTAATTTCCTAATTTTTTATTTATGTAACTATAAGTCGTATAATAATTTTATAAACAAAGTTGTATACACATGTAGAAATTTGGATTGGATTTAGATTTGTAAATAATGCCACACCCTCTAAGTGCACAAGCAACTAGAACCCGACCTTGATATAAGGGCAGTTTAATGGAATAAAAAAATAATTTAACTATTTCTTATATTTATCATAATTTAACTATTTTAAGACATTCCCAGTTTACCACTACTCATAGGGTCTTTGATTTGGTCATCTGTTCTGTTAGCTTAAATTCCTCTTCGATGGATAACCGTTCTTTCCAAGTCTTTATCACAATGCACCGAGAGGAATATCCCTCAACCCTGCCAAAGAGCATGTGGTTCCACGACCGTACTTCCCTAGCCTTCAAGTTTGCCTGCTCCTATCTTGATCCTCCAAGTGCCCATTAACAAAGTGGAGAGTACAGGAAGAAAAGGGCAATTTTTTGTGATGCTAAAGGGTCTTAGTTCCTTTCTAAATCAATATTTTCTTAGTTTTACCTATTAAGAAGGAATGGAAAACAAAGCAACGATTCTGATGCAAGGATATGAAGTTGGACGTTTACTTGGCCAAGGCAATTTCGGCAAAGTTTATCATGCAAGGAACTTGAAAACAGGCCAAAGTGTTGCAATCAAAGTGATAAACAAAGAGAAGGTGATGAGGGGGGGTATGAAGGATCAAATCAAGCGTGAGATCTCTGTGATGCGTCTTGTGAAGCACCCCAACATTGTGCAAGTCTATGAGGTAATGGCAAGTAAGACAAAGATATATTTTGCAATGGAGTGGGTGAAAGGTGGTGAGCTTTTTCATAAAGTGTCCCAAGGAAGGCTTAGGGAAGAAATGGCAAGGAAATATTTTCAGCAGCTGATTGATACTGTTGATCACTGCCACAGTAGAGGGGTGTATCACCGTGATCTTAAACCAGAGAACCTTCTCCTTGATGAAAATGGGGACCTCAAAGTTTCAGACTTCGGTTTGAGTGCATTGTTGGAATCAAAGAAAAAAGATGGCCTTCTTCACACAACATGTGGGACTCCTGCTTATGTAGCTCCTGAGGTGATCAAGAAGAAAGGATATGATGGTGCCAAAGCAGATATTTGGTCTTGTGGAGTGATTCTTTATGTTCTCTTGGCTGGTTTTCTTCCTTTCAATGATAAAAATCTAGTGGAGATGTACAAGAAGATTAGCAAAGCAGATTTCAAGTTCCCACGATGGTTCTCCTCAGATGTGAAAAGGCTTCTATATAGGATCCTTGATCCCAATCCAAGGACAAGAATTAGTATTTCCAAGATTGTGCAAAGCAATTGGTTTAGAAAGGGGTATATGCAGATTGAAGCACCAAGGTTGCCACCCTTGTCCCCTACAAATGGTGAGGATATCTCAGATGTTCAGGCTGCATTTTCTTCATCGGGTTTAGATTCAGATGACAGCTCGAAATCAGATAATGATCAAAGCCTCATGAAGCCTTATCATTTTAATGCATTTGATATCATATCACTCTCTTCAGGACTTGATCTTTCTGGCCTGTTTGAGAAAGATAATAATGAAAGACAAGCAGCAAGATTTACTACTAGAAAGCCACTTTCAATCATTTTGTCAAAACTTGAAGACGTAGCACAGGTAGATGGTAGATTCAATGTCATTAAGAAAAATGGAATTGTTATATTGAAGGAAAACAAAACACCGATGAGAAACCAACTCATTATTGAAGCAGAAATTTTTGAAGTGACGTCTTCCTTTCATATTGTTGAGGTGAAGAAAATTGATGGAGACACATTGGCGTATTGGAGATTCTGGAACCGGTACTTGAAGCCTTCACTAAATGAAATAGTTTGGACTTGGCAAGGATATGAGCAACAACAATTGTAGTATAAAAAATATTTCAGATTTCTTTTTTCTTAGACGGAAGGAGCGCTTTCAAGCACTGTTCTATCTAAATGTCTTATACATACTGCAAAGTTGTTTTCAATGCTCTTTCATATAATCTTTTTCCTCAATGACAACAACAAAGCCTTATCAGAGTTTAATCTTCTCTGCTCTCATTCTAAATAATTATATTACATTTTAGCTCAAGACAAATCATATGACTGTGTCCGTGCTTTATATCTAAAGGAACTTCACTTGAGGTCTTGTTAGAAATACATAACTTTGAGAATGGCAGTTTAAAATTTTAGAATAATTGGTCTGAACAGTAACAAAATTTGTATTATGCCTTAAAAGTAGACACAAAGCTAAATAAAATATATTGCTGTGTGAAAATTTTTTAAGGTTTGGATTGCTGATAGATTTTGTACTCACATGGCCACCTCTAGCAAAAGATCTACCAATATAACAAGAACCTAATCATGCTCATTTCTATCTTTAATATGGGCAGTCCTTGAGCATGCATTCGTTATCAAGTGGAGTTTCCTTCCTAATATCGATGCCAAACTTCGAACCTATTTGTCTGACACATTTCTAGAGTTAGTTTACACTTGATGGAGCCTAACATAAAACAGGACAAGGCAATCACTGTTAAAATGTTGAAATATGGATAAAATACTCTTTATAATACTTGAGAAATCCCAATATTTAACTTAAATTTTGGGAACATGTATATATTATTAGCTTGTGGTTTAATGTTTTGATCCTAAATCTGAATGACAGGAAGAAAAGTGGATGCAAAAAAGGTTGTCAAAATCTTTCTGACATGATGGGTGCACTCATAAATCACCAATTTTTACTTCTTTATGTTTTGAAAATTTTAAATAAAATAAATCAATGATTAATACCAGTATAATTTCTGCGCTTGCAATGGCGTAGAACTGCAACCCTAAGCATGTGACTCCTCTCTCCATATAAAGATTTCAAAAATCAAATAGCAATTATGGCATTGATATTTTAAAAATTGTCAAAAACGTTAGTTTTTTTTTACTATAACTTTTTCATAAAATACTATTGATATTTTCATAAAATACTATTGATATTTTTAAAAAATTATTATTGATAATTTTTTTATAATTTTCGTTATTTGATTTCTAAATTTTTACGTCAATGACTTTTGAATTTTTGTATTTCTGTAATTTTTTTTAAATATTATATTTTAATATATATTATTTTTAAATAATATATATATATATATGTATATATATATATATATATATATGAAAAAGAATTTTTTTACACTAATGTAAGTCTAAAAATTCTTATATTCAATCTGAGTCTTTCATTTAACTTACATTTAATAACTAATAAAATAATAAATTATAATATGTTAGATATAAGTTAAATGAAAGATTTAGATCAAGTGTAAAATTTTTTAGACTTACACCATTGTAAACTTTTTTTGTCATTATATATATATATATATATATATTGGTAAAGAAAAAAAAGGTTACGTGATTATCTAACCAAATAATTCACTCAAATAAATGATTTTCTACTTGTTTCTTAACCGTGAATGTATCATACTTCACGGATCAGATAGGTTACATATAATAAAAAATAAATATTTAATTTATTAAATTATCAAATGATATATTGTGAATGTATATTTATTTTTAAAATATTTAAAGTAATAAATAAATAATTAATATGTATATTAAATAAATTTATTTATGTAAATAATAAATAAATGTTTTATTAATATAAATCTTGTGATAAATAAAGATATAAAAAGTTACTAATAAACATACAAAATTTTGATAATTATTTATTATAAATATGATTCAAATTAATATTAATTAATTGTACATATAAGTCTATTATTTTATATTAGGAAAATATATGGAGAAGCATAGCCTTTGATTAATACTTATAGGTAGAATAATGTCAACATTTTCCCCATACATATTTTGATTTTTAATGATTTAGTGTACATTATGGCGGTGAAAGTTGGACAGTGATCGTTGCTTCTTATGATGGATCTTTATCAGTAATGTCATATTCAGCCCACACTTGTAGACCTCAAGCCCAACAATCCAATCAATTTAAAGTTGCTAAACTGGAGACACAATTTTCCAAAATAGAATTTATCATTAAAGTAAGTAATTATTCAATTTAGAATATATTGAATTTTTTATTCATCAAATTTTTTTCAAAAAGAAATCCATGCTGAATTTTAATATAAATTTGCTTTGAGTGATTTTTATTTTTCATATTTCACGATGATTAATTTTTCTTTATACCCTTCTGTGTGTAGTGGATGCGATTATTTTTTACATTGATTTCTTTTTTCTGAACATTTTTCATTTCTTACTTTATGGCCACCTTTTCAAACTCGTGTCACGTAGCCGTAGATCAATACTAAGAATCTGTGTCCTTTAGCAGCTAACTACCTAATCAAGAAACCCAATAAGGACAATCCCAATGGCAAATATAAAAATGCAAGATTTGTTGGCCGTGAAGTGCTTGTAATTAGTGTCGGGCATTTCAATTTATGACTTTAAAGAAATGAACAAACAGAAAATGACGTTTTGAAAAGATTTCGCAGCAAATCGTGAGAAGACAAGTTTGAGTGAAGATAGCGTATCTTCTTATAAAGTTCAATTTTGATTCGTCCTTTGTGATAACCACTCGTTATTCCACACTCAACACCTTCATAATCTAACAGCTGTTTTGCTCACCATATTCCAACAATCCCACTCCTAATCAAATGATGTTTTCATAATTATTGAATGGTGATGTTTTATTAAAATTGTGAATCCTCATATCAAATACAAAATTTTCATATGATTTTATCCTGTGAAAATTTAGTGTAAAAAATATATTTTTATTTATGAATGCGTAAAGGGCAAAATAATTTGAACTTGGATAAACCTTTGTAACTAACATTTCCTATCACAGTCGTGCCCCGCGTTGCCTTCAATAGTTTGTTCAGGATCTACGTATTCAGTGCAGTTTATTTTGAAAATTAATTATTTAATTTAAAAGATAACAACAAATAGCTTTCAATACATATCAGTTGAATTGATCCTTAATATTTGATTATAAAGTTTAAAAGTTAGATATTAAAATAATTTTTTATTAAAGTAAAAACAAACTGCAAAAAAAAATGCAAACTTGTAAAGTAAATAAGTAATTTACTATTGAAGGTATCTTGTGTGTGGACACAAATGTGAAAATAATGTGTTAGATACAGAAGAAATAGAATAATACCAGCAGTGTCCCAAGTCTGATAACTAATCATCCAGAGGCAGGAGACAAATAAATTTGTGGTTCCATTAATTTGTCATATATATATATAGAGTCACTTTGTTTTAGTGATTCTATATATATAAACTTTGTTGTAAACAAAAAAATCAAAAGTGTTGGATTAAATCAAATCAAGGTATTAAGTTTGAACTTTATATATATATATATATAACCGCTGAAAATATTAACTCTTTGATAGCATGAATATTCTGTACTTGAACATAATTATTTACTGTGGACTAGTAGACAATCGCTTGTTCTGGTTCAACTTCTTTAGAGACATGTAGACAACAGCTTGTTCCAGTTCAACTACTACCCCCCATCTTGTTAAATGTACCATTAATACGCAAAATGTTGCGATTGCACACGCTCGTGCATGCTCTAGCAAGCGATAAAATTCTTAAAGCGATACAACAATGTTTTAATACGAAGCTGAACCCACAAAAATACCCCGTTTAAATTTGAAAAATAGTTTTTTATTATGTTGATATCTTCACCAAGTAAAATATGGAAAAATAATATAATAAGAATAGAGTTTGCTTCCTACGTTTGCTCCCATTTTACCTAATCCATCAGTTAAAATTTTCCCACTGTCTCGTCCTTGCACGGTTGTTAGCTTATTAATGAATCATTAAATTGTATTCATTCTAACACCAGGAATTAGTTTTTGCACAGACAAACTTTCAGGTTATCTAACTTAGAAAGACACACTTTGTGAATGCAAAGATAAGAACAAAGAATAGGAACAAAAAATATTGGGCAATCACATAATGACTATTAGTATTCTCCAGGTCTACACTCGGAAGTCCAAACCGTGTAATTTACGACACCTGAGATTTGATTAGTGTATGTCTCAAATTCAAGATCAGTGACGAATCTGTCGCGTCTGTTCTACAGAACCGGTTTGGAGCCATTCGGAATCCCAAGTGTGGAGAACTAAGGGGTGCCATAAGCCATTTGAAAAGCTAATTTTTAGATATGGAAATTTGGAAGAGAATATCAAAACCATGTGGTACTAGAAGATGACACGTGTTGCGGGAATGTCATACATCAAGATAACCATCGCTGAATTTCTCCCATTTATGTGGACTTTGACCTTCAATTTGCCTCATTCATAACTTGCTATATTCATATAACTAACATGTAATGTAATGCACCACAAGTCAACGGAATTCAAGGGAGATTATCCAAAAGCAAGTAATTCGTTTTTATTTATCTTCACTTAACGCAATGCATTTACAACACGTTGCTTTTATACACCCACCTGAGTTTCTTCTCATCAACTCATTATTAAATTATAAGGAGCACCTGAACTAGCAATGCCAAACAATTATACTGTTATCATTTGATAAATAAATTCAAACTTTTTATTTTTTACTGAATTATCATTATAGTTGCTAATTTTATAATTTTTTTCAGTTTCGTTCTAAATTTATAAATATTTTAATTTAATTTTAACTTGCTTAAATATTTTAAATTATTCCTTATAATTATAATAATTAACAAAATTGTTTGTTTGCTACGATTAATTTTAATTTAACATATCAAATGACATGTCACGATTAATATGTCGGGTGAACACTTTTGTTTAGTGTCATTGCAATTTACTAATTATAAATTTTAATTTAACATATTAAAAGGCATCTCCCATTTAACATGATACATGAACACTTTTTGTCAAGGGTTATTTACGTTTATTAACGACATAAACTAACGTAGTTACTTTTTCAATAACTCGAAATTAAAAATAAGCCTTCATTTAGAGATGAAATAAAAAAAATACAAAATGAAGAATTAAAGTGAGGATTTATTCCTTGATTTTCCCTGGGCATGACTACTTATTTGTAACAATCAATTTCACAGGTTTAAAGCTCAACTTTATACCCCAAATGTTAGCGGGAAGATTTCCAGATTAGTCCTGAACTTTCTCAGTCATGTTCTGTTCTTGAAAGCAGTTTCGCGGTGATATTGTTAATTTGTTATGGATCCTTAAATGGCAAGTCAATAGTGGATTCCTTATGGATTGCTAACAAAGTCCATTAATTTATAATACTGGCCCGCATAGCTTTCAGATTGGTCTAAAAGACAGCTATTTCCTCAAGTGTTAAACAACATTTTACAAAGACAACATATTAACTTTGTATATAACCAAACCAGGTTACAAACCATTTTCTTCAACAGGCTACACACTCAAATTGCTGAGTTCGTGCTAAAAACGAAGAAAGTAACAAAATTAGTAGTAGGAGATACAATATTCTTAGTCTTAGATATTGATGTCTTTGTGATAAAACCAATTAGAATGGTTTCCTCCAAGCAAGACTCCGGTGCTCCCGGACCATTGAATGTGTTCGTAAGATATAGCATTAAAAATACATTCCCCATTCAAGAATAATCAGAGGGCATTTAACAATTTTTCTTCCTTCAATCAACAATTTCAAATGAGAATTCATTTAAGAGCTCTATGTACAACTAAAGCCAAAAGCCACATGGGTTAGCACTACACCATTTTGCTATTTTCACATTGCTTGCTATTCTCAAAAGTAATATACAGTTCACCATCAAAGCGTGAAGAAAAGTAGAAATACATACTCCATTGACTATATTTCAATTAGCCTTTTTCGTATGAGCAATTAAACAGACAAATACATAGGCACCTAATGCTCCAGTAAAGAAGCAAACCTAAAAGCAGGACTCAGGACAATCCTGGGGGAAAATTTTTAACCAATTTCCATACACAATCTATAAACAAAAGAGCGCAAAAGGCTTAACCTTTTATCCTCTCTATCTCACTCTTCAATCATCAGTAGGTATATAGCGTTGAGTTTCAATATCCGAAGCTATGTTATGCACGGGTTCAGAAAGCACACGTAGTAAAGAAGGCTCAGTAGGTGTAGACAAGCCTGAAGAAGTTGCAGATTCCTCGGCCATCAAATTTTGCAGCCCTGGTTTCAATTCATTGTTGCAAAATCTCTCATACTCCGCTCTGTCACCTCCTTTTTTCTTCACCTCCACCACAACCAAAGAAGGTGTCAATTCAAATATCTCAGCAGCTATAGTCAATGGACCCTTCACACCTTCTCGGGTACCCTCCAAGCTCACCCTACAATCTTTCTTCCTCACAGTAAAACTTACCAACTGAGCAATCTCCTCCAATTTTGATATGATCCTAGAAACCGGTGCAGCAGTCACAAACCTTGCCTCGTCCCCTTTCTCCTCAAACAAACCAGAAAGATCAAAGCCAGGAGAGAATGATATAATGTCAAAAGCATTCAAACTGGCAGGTCTTGGCAAAGGAGCATGCTTCCTTCTAGTCTCAACCTCAGAATCAGATTCTGACACTGAGTAATCAGAAACAAAAGATGCAATAGATGCTGTATCATCCTCATTGTCCATAAGGTTATCATCAACACTACAAAGTCTATCATCCTCAACATAAAACTTGATTTGTTTGAACCCTTTTTTGAACCACTTGTTCTCCATGATATCAGGAATAGCAATCCGGGTTTCAGGCTTGGTATCGAGAAGCCGAGTTAGAAGCCTAGAAAGATCAGGTGAGAACCACCGTGGACACCTGAACTCACCCCTGTAAATCTTCTTATACATTGCCATCACATTCTGATCATGAAAAGGCAAATACCCAGCCATCAATACAAACAAAACCACCCCACAAGACCAAAGATCAACCTTAGCACCATCATAACCTTTCCTTGCCAAAACCTCAGGAGCAACATAAGCAGGTGTTCCACAAAACGTATGGAACAATCCATCTTGCCTGATTTGATCAGAAACCGCACTCAACCCAAAATCAGAGACCTTTAGATTCCCGTTCTCATCAAGCAACAAATTTTCAGGCTTAAGATCCCTATGGTACACCCCTCTAGCGTGGCAAAAGCCAACTGCAGAGATCAATTGCTGAAAGTACTTCCTTGCAGCCTCTTCCTTGAGCCTCCCTTTTGCAACCTTGTTGAAAAGCTCACCCCCACGAACGTATTCCATTACAAAATAGATCTTTGTCTTTGTAGCCATTACCTCGAAGAGTTGCACGATATTAGGGTGGCGAACACGGCGCAGAATCGAGATCTCGCGCTTGATGTGTGCCACCAACCCACCCTTCAGAATCTTCTCTTTGTCAATCACCTTGATGGCAACACCTTCCCCGCTTTTAATGTTTCTCGCGTAGTAAACCTTCGCAAAGGTTCCATGGCCAAGGAGCTTCCCAATCTCGAAGCGACCAAGTAACAGGCTCGATGTTTCCTTCTTGTTGGTGGGAGTGATGGTGGTGGGGCTCTTTGAAACGACGTCGGCCATGGATGGCCAATGGTTTGAAATTTGAATGTTGAAGTTTAGTTGTGTCCTTTGTTGTTTCTTCGAGTTACGAACAAATGATGAAAGCCAAAAAATGGAGGTAGTGATTGGTCTCTATTGAATTGAAGGTGGGTATCGTTTTTGGTTGGGACGGGTGGATGGAGGGAGGAACATGGACAAGGGTGTGGCTTTGATTCGTTTGAGGTTTTCCTATGTAAGAGTGTGTGTGTCTGGTGTTATTATTATGTGTAAACAATTTCGTATTTAGCCAAAATTGAGAGAGAGAGAGAGTGACACACAGATGCTTTTATAAGGGAAGGTATATACCACCATCAGTTTGTTTTCTATTTTTCTTTTACTTTTGATTTTTCATTAACTTTGCTAATTGTTACGTGTTTGATTAATTCATTCATTGGTCTTCCAATGCTGAAACTTGCAACTTTTATGCATATATGTGTTTTGTTAAATATAATCGAGACTAAATTTGAACTAATTAGAAATATATATTTATATTAAAATAGGCATTTTTATTTTAAAATGTTAAAATCAGTGAATTACCATGTGACATCTTGCGTGAGAAGAAAATAAGTGAAAACTTGTTATTATCGTTTTAATTGAGTTTCCTCCCTTGGGAGATTCTCTCTAATGATGAGCTGCGCATCCAATTGTCTCTACTTGATTATTTTACTTTTCAAGTTGTCTCCAAACATGAGAAAAATATCATCTACGCTTCAAATTGGGAACTACTTTCATGATTTATAAAGATTTGTTCAAAAGTTCAGTTTTTATAAAGAGAAACTTGCATATGATGCTTTTTTATATTTTTGTTATTGAGTCTTTAAATTAAATAATAACATGCAAATACTTTTTATTATTAAATAGCTAGCCTTGATTTAAAATATACGTTTCTTGTAATTATTTGTGAAATATCTTTATATTTTACTTGATTTTAGAATACTCACATTTTTACAGAGATACTTATTAGTTCGTATAATATTTGAATCTACTTGAAATTTCATACAAATTTTTTCTATTAAAAAAATGCTTTAGTTAGTTGATCTTATATTCCCACAGTACACATGCTTTGAATGATAATATTATAACCTAAGTTAATTTTCCATTAAATTTATTTAAATTTTATACTATTTGTAGATCTTTTATTTATGAGTTCGATTGATTTCTTAATTAAAATTATGCTAAATTAATTTTGATGGAGCGGAAACAGGTTGGACCGTCTTGACAGCTCAACGTCTGCTCAAGAGTTTCCAAGCTAACGGCCACTTCCGTTTTCTTGTTCTTATAGTTTTTATTGAGGAAAAAAATATTTATTGATAATATTTTTTATGTAAAATAAATAAGGATAAAAAAAAGAAAATAAGAAATACTATTAATTATGCAATTAAAAAAATAAAAAATAGAAAAAAAATGAATGTAACAAATCTGTCTAAAAATATAATTTATCTATTTAAAGATAAAATTTAATATATTTATTTATAAAAACAAAAACTAGGATTAAGTATTTAATAATAATCAGATAGTGATAACACTTAAACTTGATTTTAAGAATTAATGTTATTAAAACTTTCTATTTATTTGTATAAAAGTCTAATACAGTATTAATTATTATTATTTTCCAGTACTATTTTGTTAATATTAAAATTAAATATAATAAATAAAATATTTATATTAAAATTAAATATAATAACATTGTAAAATTATTTTTTTAAAAATGTAAATGGGCAGATTCAAACGCAAAAAGTGGCCTCCCCTCTGGCTGTGCAACACGTGTATTTCATATAGAAGTTAGTCGGTTTGAAATTTTCAAGCGCATGTCTCAATATTTCTCCTTTCTGGGTTAGCAGTAAAAACCTCACTTGCATCGCTGTTACAGTTGTCATTCTTGCCCGTTAGATTAAAACGACGTCGACGTCGGTTTATTAAAAGAATGTGAATGACGGTAGCAGTCTAACACATGAAATTTAACTCAAATCTTGAAAAGCATTTGAGATAAAATTATATTTGTATTTGTCACAAAGATATAAATTAGATATTTAATTATGTCGGTGTAGCATGCAATAAGATTAGGCATTGTGCGTAAGGAGTAAGTTATCTCATTAACTTCTACCCAAACCGGCTAATTCTATTTTCAAAAGGTGAAAATAGTGAATGTAAAACAATTAATTTTAAGAAAAGATAGCAAGATGTGAATGTCATTTACAATTTAAGTATTAAATTAAAAAGTTTAACAAGTTGCACAAGTCATTTGGGACTTATCCCATTTTCAATTTTTTTATTTATATTATTTTGGAAATTTTTAATGTGTACAAAAGATTTTTTCATGAGAGTGAGAATAATAAATTTTAGTAGTTAAATTTTATTATGGATAATTAAAATTAAAGCACACTACTCATAAAATTTTTTTAAAATGTAATTTTTCTAAATGATCATGTAATTTATTGAATATGATAATCTTAATTATCTTTTTTACATGATTATATGATCTAAATTTATTCATTTTATTCTCCTTTGAGAATATTCATTTCACTACATACATTCTCCTATCCAACATTGCAATCTTAACTCACGCAGTTAATACTTGCACATTGAGTTTGAAAGTTCATTTGATTTAAAATTGAAAACAAAATATTTTAAATTGTTAAATAAAATTGAGATGTGTGTAAATTAATTTAAAACATATATTTTTATTAAAAATATTTTTTCTTAACTGAGTGTGAGAATTAATTTTTTAATCATAAAATAAAGTATGAAACTCAAGTCCAACAATTAAAAAAAAAAAACATGGAGACACAATAATAAAGTTAGTAGTGAAATGGTAACTACTTGTTCTCATTTTTCACGAATTAGATTTCACAATTCTGGTGAAGCCCATGGGACAGCTTATGAATGCCTGATTACATGTTGCTGTATCTTCTGAATTGTCTTTACACACTTTCTAAAGGAACATTTGTGAGAAGCAAGAAACCTTTACTTTCATGACTTGAATGTATCTTAGGACACTCAAACACGGAAACAGAAAAAAAGACGCACATTTGTTAAAAGCCAAAGTTCAGTGTGATTCACGCTGCTAGGTTCATGCCCTACGGTGAATTATAAGATGGAATCAAATTATTTATTTTAGTAATGTATATTAAGTGTAGCTAACAGTAAAAAATTGTTATGCTTTTTTCTTTAATTCAATAATGGCATTTGATTAAGATATTTCATAATTAGGTGAGAGGTTAGTATTTAAAACATATTTTTGAATATTTTTAAATTTAAATGTTATTTAAAATTGAAAGTATTTTTTTTTATTAAAAATTATGTTAAATTTCATTAAAAATTAGAAATATTGTATTAATTATATTTATTTTTGATAAAATGTTTTATTTTTAATTCTTTAAATACACTAATTAATGTTTGATAATAAATAAATCACAAATTAAGTATATGAGTAAATTCAAATTAGCTTTGATACGCCTCAATTTTTTTAAAGATAAACTTTTTTTCAAAGGGTAACAAGATGTCGAATTTGTTAATCTTATGAGAATATATATACAGTCACTTATTTAATAAAATTTAAATTAATATATCAAGTATTATAGAACGTTTATCAATTTAAGTTATGTGTATACTTGTATTATAGTGCTTTACCTGTGAACATGTTGAAAGAAAGAGTGAATCCTTGCCATAAATCACACCCCAATACCCACTCCTAAACATAATAAAAGAAATATTGTTATAACAAGAAGAGTTTCTTATTTCATTTTTTGTCCATATATGTATGTGTAGACACAAAAATATATTTACCCACACTGTGATTACTCCATTGATGCCACAACAAGGGTTTTGTTAAGCATATGTAGGGAAGGAGGAATGGCTATCTCGTCTTCATTTTTGCTTATAACTCAACCATTTTTAGTCATTATTGACATTTATGCCATGTATTGGGAATAATATATTGACTGAAGAATTTTGGGTCATTTATTCTCTTCAACCTAGATTTTATCAGAAGACACCTAGACTTGGTGAATGGAGATTAGGCACACTACACTACTAATCAAAAGTCTCAAACAACAAAACTAATAGCAAGCAATATAATAGGCTGCATGTCACCATGCGAAGGATATGCGAAGGATAAGAACTTTCCAAGAACGAAACAAATTTTCGAAGCTACAACTGTTAGCACCCATGAAGTTGTACACGTCTTCTCCATGTTAAGCTTGAGATACTTTTTTTTTTTTTTTCTGTGCAACTTGTGTACAAGCTACACTATTTTCCATCGTGAGCTTTTACTTAACTATTCTGTAAATTTTTGTCTTTGGCAATGAAATTAATATCTGTTTCTTTTGGGGTGAAAAGAAACATTAGGCAAAAATCAAAATTTCTTGCCAGATCATAATGGTCAAACATTTTAACATCCCATCACAAGAAAGCTAAAAGGTGGCGTTATGAAGGTCACGCGGGAAAAGAAAGGAAGAATGGAGTGCAGCACGAGTTAGAAAGTCAACTTTGTGGTCGGTGATAATTATCACACGCAAGAATATAATGAGCTTAATAGAAAACTATCAGTTAATTAGTTGATTTGACCTCCGATATTTTGTGAATGGATAGGGGTGATGGACTTGATGATGATTTTGCCCATTCCTTAATATCCTGTAAACATATATCTAAATAAATAAATAAATGGCTTATAGAAAAAACCAATAAGTTATTATCAAACGAATTAATTAAAAAATTGATGAAATAATAGATGTTAAAAAATCAAGCGAATGGTGCAAATACTAATTAAAATAATATTGGAATTTTGGAAGTCCCTGCACTCGTGCATAAAATTTAAATTTTTGTTTAGAGTAACATATAAGATAAAGCTCTTTTACAATGAGTTTATATACAATGTGAAAGTAAAAATTATTTATCATTGCTTTATTTTGAAATATACATTAATATTATTAATTCATAAAGATCTAAAAATGAATAATTCCTTATTTTCTATTTTATAAATAAGATTACTTTTTTTTTTCAAAATACATTTGTATATTTTAAAAAATATTTTATGTAATCCTATTACTGAAACTACATTGCTCAAGCTAGAAGCATATCTCATGAGTTGCCAAACTTTTTGGGTGCGCACGAGCGTGGCCGTAGTCGTAGACTTCTCCGATGGCTTTGGGAAACCCTGGAGGCGTAGTTTGCGACATTGGACTCTTCTTTCTGT